TGTAGGGCTTGTATAAACGTGTCGGCTTCCAACGAGCTGACATCCTCGATGTGCACACAGCGACTGTTAAAGCACACGAATATGCATCCGTAAATCTTGATTGTACTTCGAGCGCGTTTTACATGGAAAGGGCCAAAGAAATCAACGCCGGTATATGTAAATGGTGGCTGATATAGTACTAAACGCTCCTTGGGCAAATTCGCCATCTTCTGTTGCATCACAGGACCTTCACGTCTACGACAGGTTACGCACTGACGCACTAGTTGACGAATAAGTAATCGAGCTCCTAAGATCCAATATCTCTGACGCAGTGTGCCAAGAACATGTTCTCGTCCCCCATGACCCAGTATTCTGTGATAGTGTAGTACTAGTAGACTTGAAATTGGGTGCTCCTTTGGCATTATGATGGGATGAGCAGCTTCATACGGTATTAGCGCCTTGTGGATCCTTCCCCCTACGCGGATAATGCTGTCTACTAAGGTTGGGTTAAGACAAGCGATCTTGCTAGCGGCTTTTACCGGTTGACCTTTCTGCAGGGCAATCAACTCTTCTTTAAAGCAGTACCCTTGAACCACTTTAGTGATAACTTGACTGGAGTGTCGCATCTCCGCTAGACTGATGGTAGTTGTATGACCAACATTTTGCTTTTTTGCACGTTTGATGAGTCACATAACATACGACATAACTCTGAGAAGACRTGGCCATGATGAATGTCGTCGCAGTAACTCTTCGATTTCAGACTCTATAGTTGAAGTGGTCGTGGCGTTAYAATCTTTCAACACTTCCGGTAGTTCTCCATCTGGTATTTCGTCAGCCTTCCAGSTCGGCCATTGGTCTTCGGACATCCATAGAAATTACGGTCCCGATAAYCAATGGGAATTGGAGGTGAAAGATTCCTCGTCCATTCCCCGAAATCCTTCATCGGCTGGATTCAGTGTACCAGGTACAAAGTACCATTGTTCTTGTGAAGATGACTCATGTATTTCAGTGAGGCGGTTGGAGACAAAGGTGTTGAAACGGCGTGTTCTATTCTTGATATATTGTAGCACCGTCATTGAGTCCGACCAAAAGCGGACTTCTGTCACGGGCTCTTCTAGCTCATCAAGTATTGTCTTGCTCAGCCGGGTAGCCTGCACAGCTGCTTGAAGTTCCAGTCGTGGAATTGACTGTTCCTCTATTGGAGTGTTACGAGCCTTTCCCATGACGAAAACACAATGTATCTTGCCATCTTRGTCAATCATTCTAAGATATGACACTGCAGCGTMACCACGTCTCCACGCATCAGCAAAGTTGTGCAGTTGCATGGTCGTAACTGTTCCAAGTTGAGAACTCTTGTAACATCTCGGAATATGGATGGTAACGATGTGAGGGAGGGATTGTATCCACTAACGCCATGATGAATAGTATGGTTCCGGAATTTTCTGGTCCCAGCTGAAGCCTTCTCTCCACAAGTCTTGCAGTAGGATCTTAACTGGAAGTACAAAGGGCGTCAGGAACCCCAAGGGGTCAAACAATGAGTTTAGTTAGTCAGTTTCGGAGTCCCACCAGATACCCAGGGTACGTTCCATAGGGAGTTGATCAAGATCWAAGTTCAGGCTTGGCTTGGCTCGTTCTTTAGAAGGAAGAGCTGCAAGGATTTCACGTCTGTTACTTGTAAACTTTGTAAGGCGAAAACCTCCTTCCTTCAGCAAATTGATMAGACCAATCGCTACATTGATGGCTTCTTCAGTCGATGCGCTGGCCTTTAACACATCGTCGGCGTAAAAATTTTGAAACACCGTCTCAATCACTTCGGGGCTGTATCTTTCTTTACCCGCTTCTACTGTCATCTGTAGGGCTTTGTTTGTACTCCGAGGGAGGATTATCGATGCCCTCCGATCACCATAGAAACCTCAGAGCGTCTGCATCAGCTGGCGACACTCTGACCTGGTTGAACATGGCTTCAACATCGGCGGTAAACGCTGCTGGGTGTTGGCGAAAACGTATAAGTACTCCAGAGATATCATTGGTTAGACTTGGCCCTTGAAGGAGACAGTCGATGAGTGATGTTCCTGCAAACTTTGCGGCGGCGTCGAACACAACTCTTACTTTGCCGGGCTTGTTGGAATTAAGCACAGGATGGTGAGGAAGATAGCACGTGATGTCGCTCTTGGTAGCAGCTTCTTCAGCAGAAAGAACATTTCTTGCATAACCTTTTTTACKTACTCGTCGATTACAGCTCTTTATTTTGTTTCAAGGTTTGGATCCCACTGGAAGCGTGTCTTTAGATGTTGTAGTCGTGCCTCTGCGATTGTGAGGTATAGATAGCTGTTCTTCCTTCCACAGCAGTCCCATCTGGTAGTGGTTTCCGTTCTTCTCTGTAGCGTCCTTGATCATCTTCATGGCTTGATGATCTTCTACTGACCAGGTCTTTGTTTTTTGACACCATAAGACTCTATTCGCCAGAACTCCTCCACTTGTTGAAATAGTTTTATGTCTTCACTTGTCACAAAGTTTGCGTTTGAATATTGGTCGTGTGATTTGTTGCTGTTTGTTCCTCCCAGAATACTCCATCCAAGGCAGCACTTTATGGCAATTGGTTCGTTTGTGTTTCCCGTTCTGACATCCATGGGTACAAAGGCTTGGCTGACATTTGTTCCGATCAGTATCGATATCTTCTTCCTCTCAACATCAGGAAAAGGTACTTCTTTCAGATGTGTCCACTGAGATATGCGGTCTGTTATCTTCCTCTGCTTTATGGGTATGGCAAGTTCTTTCAGCGCCCAGGCTGTTTCAACGTTGACCACGTTGTCGGTTGCATCGCTGAGGCAGGCTAGTTGAAAACTAACCATCGTAGCTTTATTACTCTCATCACTACTGCTGAAGGTGTTGACTATAAGACTACCGGGCGTTCTTTCGAGATTCATCTTCTTGGCCAGGGACGGGTCTATTAACGTGACGTCTGAACCAGAGTCTATCAAGCAGTAGGTAGTGGTAACGTCTGAACCTTTGCTATTGATTATTTTCACAGGTAGCACTTGTAGCATAACTTGTCGACTATTGGTGGCAACTGTAAAGTTATTTCCCTTTGGTGACTTCGATGTATCAACAGTGTCATTTTGAGATTTCTTGTTTTCAGTTTGGTAACTTTCGTGTTGCTTTACATCGCTTGAGTCTGTAAAGTATAGCATAGAATGATGTGCTTTACCGCATCCTGATACTTGACAGCGTATTGAGCACTTACAGTTCTTGTAGTTATGTTCAGTATAGCTTAAACAGTTAAAACATATCTTGTTGGCCTTGACAAATTCGTTTCTCTCTCTAGGGTTCTTTGCCTTGAACGACTCGCAGCGATACAAGCGATGTGATTTATTACACATGAAACATTGTTCATCCTTCTTGAAAGTGGCTAGCGTGGTGACTTTGAATGCTGTACCTGTAGATTTTTCTCTTGCATTCGCGCCTTGTCTTGCGGCAGGGTAACCGCTCGTGTTCTTGGATATTGTTTCGCTCTTTGAAAGGAATGGGTGATTCAGCACTTCAGCACGATCCTTCAGGAATTCTACAACGTCCTTGAAGGTTGGCATCTGCTTATCATTTCGTTTCCGACTCACAGTCTCAATAAACTTAGTCTGCGCCCACTTGGGTAAGCGTGCAACAACTCTTTTCAGGTTATCAGTGCTCATCTCTCCTAGGAATCCCATTGACTCAAGAGTGTCGTAAGTTTCTTGTGCGTCGTCTGCTAGCTGTTGCAATGCTTGTCTGTCATTGTTCTCTATTGTAGGTCCCTTTGTAAGTCCATCAACACAAGCGCGAACCACTTGTGCTGGTCGGCCGTAACGCTCTTCTAGTGTTTTTAATGCGTTGTTTAGGCCACATGGTAGGGCTTCATAACGCTGTACCGCTCTCAGAGCCGGTCCCTCGAGAAATTGAAGCAATAACGTCGTCTTGAGAGCTTCACTTAAATCACGGTTCTCTACCAGTTGACGGAATCGATGTCCAAACGTTGGATACTTCTCTGGTGATTCATCAATCTTCTGAACTTGTGCWTAAGGTAAATCTTGAGTTAAGCTTATGTTTGCTATCGCCTTTGCAAGGTTAGTAAGCACATCATCAGGCGTTCGTTMAGCAGGCACTTTGTGAGCAGTCGTATCGGTCGTCATTGTACTCCCATAATGATTGGGAGGCAACAGTCCAGATAARTTAGTCGACGGTAAAGTTTTAGAAACCACGGGTGTGGTTACAGGAATCGGAGTTGACATATGTTGCGGGTTGACAGACATGCGTGATCCAGGATAACTACTTGCAGTGAAAACAGGCGCAGAGAAAGCACTTGAAAAACTARTGCTTGATGGCAAAGGAGTAGGCACCGGGGGCATGGTCCTAGGAATCGGAGTCGATATACGTGGGGGGTCGACGGACACATGTGACACAGGTAAGCTACATGAAGTAACAACCGGAGCAGAAATTGTACTTGAGAACCAAGGACTCGATGACGAAGGACTAGCCACCGGGGTTATGGTCCTGGGACTTGGAGTCGAGATATGTCCAGGATTGACAGACACATGTGATGCAGGTAATGTACTTGAAGTAACGACAGGCGCAGAAATGACACTTGAAAACCAAGGAGTTTGTGGCGAAAACACATWAAAATTAAATGTGGGCTTGACTGATTGTTCGAGGAGAAAATAGACACGGGTGGCGATAGGTTATAGGGACTTGAAGTCAGTGGGACTTCTTCTGTCGTCTTCACATCATGGGTCGGGGACGCACAGTCACTTTGTTGAACTTTCCKCACATGGGAAAACACAGGGTTTGGGTTTGTTACACTTTTATCACTGCTTATYTTTCTTTTTTCCTCGAGTTCACTCTCCAATCTAGTTAGTTCRAGTTCAAGCTCCGTTTTCCTTATTTTGATTTCCAAGGTTTTCATCTCAATTTCAATCGCACGTTCAGCATCCTTAAATGATTGATTCGTTGGTTCGGCGGCAGCGATCATGCGTGCTTGACCTCCAAGTTGTTGATTTTTTGAAATATTCATCAAAGTATAGCCTTCTACATCGTTGCTGTAAATACTGCGACTTAACTTCATTGTATTTCTGGCAGTTGTCATCCAGTGAATCAAAGTATATTGTCCACAACACAATTCGTAATTACTCCAAGCATTATTTAGGCGAGACTTCAAGATGTCAACATCAGCGTCATTTGCGTTACTCGCTAACCTCTCAAGTTCGTTGTAGATTCTTGAAAGCGCCGATAAATATACTCTCCTTCGTCGATCAAGTTCATAAACTCTCGCAAAGAGTGGACCATCGTTCTCCATCACACTCTCCCATGAGCCAGGATTTGGTTTTCACAAATGTAGAGGCTACATATCAAAACTCTTTATTGGCGTGTGTTATACATGGTTGCAACTGATCTTAAACCGTGAAAACCTAAAACAAAAACACACACATAGAACATTACAAAACATGAACACACGAAAAGCAAAACAAAGAAGGCAAAAAGGCACAAAAAACTCACCAAATATGACCACGGCAAATAAAACACACCACGAGSCTCTCCACACAGCGCAAAACACGGAACAGGACACTAGACATGCACATGAAAACAGCCCATAAAATCACAAGATAGCAGAAACACCTAAATATGACATTTCACGGTCAATCTTGCAGTGAAATTTTAAGGTGAGTTACTTTAGCAGAAAACCCATATGTGACGAAACGACATCACATTTCTATTAGTTGTTGATATTCGAGATTTATTGCTGACATCAGGACAATTTTACCCATTGTCACGTGATATGTGACGTCAGGTACTTTGACAGGCAATGCAGATCAATCAATGCTGACTTAAGTCATTATAATTCATTTATATTTCACTGCACCGTWGTTTATTAMATTTATGGTTGAGGGGGTATTACATTTATGGTGGGTTTGGGTTATTACATTTATGGTTGAAAGTTATTACATTTATGGTGGGGTCGATTATTACATTTATGGTTGATGATTATTATTACATTTATGGTTGGTATTACATTTATGGTTGATTTTTATTACATTTATGGTGGGTATTACATTTATGGTTGTTATTACATTTATGGGTAATACAACTTATCCATAACCGAAGTKAAAATAATAAGATTTWAACGATAAAAAAATTATTCGTAAATCGTTTACTTGATTCATTGTTCCGAATTCGTCTATACAATCAATCTTCGAGTTGTGTTGCCATTGGCAGCTTGATTACCCAAAGGGCAGGTCTTGTACTAGATGAGGACTAGCTATGAAATCAAGAAAGTGATCAAGCTGTGCCAGATCAACACGAATGCGAGAATTGGTAGGCTGTGTTAAAATCTTTGAACCAGTGTCAAATTGAAGTCTGTGTAAATTAGCTTTGGTATATCTATATTGGGTCAACCCAGTAATGTAGTCGGTAAGTATTTTGTAGGAAGCTAAACCAGACATTATTGAGTGGATTTTCCGGCACGTTTCCCAGCTTTGAGTATTCATATATGCTTGAGCAAGCGACTCYAAGTACTTTTTCTGTGAGGGACTCAAGGTGTCGATGCCAAGGAGGTGCAGCATCTCTGGACTACCAACTAGACGTTCCCATAAGCTGCCGGCAGTGTCGTCATCGGGTGACACAGTTTTTATAGCAGAAGATAGAAACTCCACAGATTTTTTTGTGTATTGTTGTCTTGTGCTGTCACTTGAACTACTCCATGTCTGCCACGATCTTACTATTGGATTGATGCCACTTGAAATCAGAAACGTATTGAKACGCTGCATTGCCTTGTCTTGCGTAGAACAGGTCGCACTTTRATCCTCACTTTGAGTTGATGTGGTCA